GTCTTTGATCCATCTGGAGTTAGTTTTTGTGTATGGTGTGAGGTACAGATCTTGTTTCATTTTTCTGCAAATGGATATCCAGTTCTGCCAGCACCTTTTGTTAAAGAGACCATCTCTTCCACATTTAATGGATTTCAGCCCTTTGTCAAAACTCAGCTGGCCATGGGTGGATGGCTCTATTTCTGGGTTCTCAATTCTGTTCCACTGGTTTATGTGTCTGTCATTGTACTAGTATCAGGCTGCTTGACTACTGTGGCTGTATACTAGGTTTTGAGATCCGGGAGTGTGGTACCTCCTACTTTGTTCTTCTTCTTCAATAGTACTTTCTTATTCAAGGTCTCTTTCCTTTTCTGATAAACTTTTTTTAAATTTTTTTTTTTGATAGTCGCACTTGGGTGTACTGTAGTCTAATCAATTTTAAAGTTGTTGTTTTTTTTTAAATTGTACACACCAAATACCTGTTGAGGCCCCGAATTTGATCTGGCCCTTCATTGGGAAGAGAAGAAAATAAATAGGGACCTTCTGAGGATCTAGGATACTGCTGTGGTTCTCTGTTCCCTTCATGCAGAAGTGAAATTTTTTTTAAAAAAGGGGTGGAGGAACAAGTACGAATTGTCTCTAAGTCAGACATTCATAATCTAGGGAATTACTGTACCTTTTCTCAACAACATAAAAAGCTCTTACCACCCCCATCACACACACACACAAGATGGAATAGTCAGGAATTAAATCAAGGACATCTGTGGAAAGATGATGGAGAAGCTCAATATCATCAGAACAAAGCCAGGAGCTCACTGTGGAGCAGACCATCAATTGCCCATAAACAAGTTCAAGTTAAATTTGAAGAGAACTAAAATAAGTCCAGGTGAGCCAAAGTATGGCCTTGAGTATATTCCACCTGAATTCAGAAACTACTCAAGAAGGGAATTGAGGCATTGAATACAAATGACTGCAGACCAAGGGAAGAGTGGGGTGACATCAAGGATATCATACCTGAAGAAAACAAAAGGTCATTAAAAAGACAGGGAACAAAGAAAAGTCCAAAATGGATGACAGAAGAGACTCTGAAACTTCCTCTTGAACATAGAGTAGCTAAAGTGAAAAAAAAAAAAATGATGAAGTAAAAAAGGTGAAAAGAAGAATTCAAAGATAGCTCAAGAACAGAAAGAAGCATTATAATGAAATGTGCAAAGACCTGGAGTTAGAAAATCAAAAGAGGAGGACATGCTCAGCATTTCTCAAACTGAAAGAACTGCAGAAAACATTCAAGCCTTGAGTTGCAATATTGAAGGATTCAGTGGGAAAAATATTGAAGGATTCAGTGGGAAAAATATTGAATGATTCAGGAAGCATCAAAAGATGGAAGGGATACACAGAGTCACTGTACCAAAAAGTATTGGTCCATGGTCAACCATTTCAGGAGGTAGCATATGATCAAAAACTGATGACAGTACTGAATGAAGAAGTCCAAGGTATATTGAAGACATTGGCAAAAAAAAAAAAAAAAAAAAGGCTCTTGGAATTGAAAGAAAACCAACTGAGATATTTCAACAAATGGATGCAACAGTGGAGGTACTCATTAGTATATGCAAGCAGTTTGGAAGACAGCTACCTGGCCAACATACTAGTAGAGATCCATATTTGTGCCCATTCCAAAGATAGGTGATCCATCAGAATATGGACATTATACAACAATATCATTAATATCACACGAAAGTAAAATTTTGCTGCAGATAATTCAAAAACAGTTGCAGAAGTACATCAACAGGGAACTGCCAAATTCAAATTGGATTCAGAAGAGAATGTGAATGAGGGATATAACTGCTGATGTCAGATGGATCTTAGTGAAAGAGAATACCAGAAAGATGTTTACCATGTTTTAATTGACTATGCAAACATATTTGACGAGGTGAATCATAACAAATTATGGATAACATTGCAAAGAATGAGAACTCCAGCTTAATTGAGCTCATGTGGAACCTGATCATAGACCAAGAGGCAGTCATTTGAACAAAACAAGGGAATATTGCATGGTTGAAGATCAACAAAGGTATATGTCAGGGTTATTTCCTTTTACCATATTTATGCATTCTGTATACTAAGCAAATAATCCAAGAACCTAGAAAATATGAAGAAGAATGCACCATCAAGACTAGAGGAAGATTCATTAACAACCTATGATATGCAGATGACACAACCTTGGTTGCTGAAAGTGAAGAAAACTTGAAGAACTTACTAATGAAGGTCAAAGACCACACAGTATGGATTACACCTCAACAAAAAGAAAACAAAAACCCTCATAACTAGACCAATAAGCAACATCATGATAAATGGAGAAAATACTGATGTTTACTTGGATTTCATTTTACTTGGATCTACAATCAACACCCATGGAAGCAGCATCTAGAAATCAAATGACATATCAGGCAAATTTGCTACAAAGGACTTCTTGAAAGTATTAAAAAGCAAATATGTCACTTTGAGGACTAAGGTCACCTAACCCAACCTACGGTATTTTCAGTTGCCGCATATGCATGCAAAAGTTGGACAATGAATAAGGAAGACTGAGGCAGAATTGATGCCTTTGAATTATGGTGTCAGTAAAGAATATTGAATATACCATGGACTGCTAGAAGAATGAACAAATCTGTCTTGGAAGAAGTATAGCCAGAACACTTCCTAGAAGTGAGAATGGCCAGGCTTCATCTTATGTACTTTGGACGTGTTATCAGGGGAACCAGTCCCTGGAAAAGGACATCATTCTTGATAAAGTAGAAGAGCAGGAAAAAAAGAGGAAGACCCTCAACAAGATGGATAGACACAGTGGCTGCAACAGTGAACTCAAGCATAGCAATGATTGTGAGGATGGCTCAGGATCAGGCAATGTTTAGTTCTGTCATGCATAGTGTCACTATGAGTTGGAACTAACTCAATGGCACCTAACAATAACAACAGACTTCATGGAAGCAGACTGCCACATCTCTCTCCTGTGGAGTGGCTGCAGAGTTTGAACTGACACCACTCAGTTAGCAGCCAAGCACTTACTCAACCTCTATGCCACCAGGGCTCCTCTGGGGGCTCTAGCACACCAGTGTACAATTCTCTGTACTACTTCTGAATATTTGTACATCAAATTATTTCAAAATAAAAAGTTAAATTTTAACATAATTACTTTATATAATAAATCTTTATAAAATTATTTTTTCTTGAGATTGGGTAAATCAACTTTTTAAAACCTTATGTCTCATTCTCTTCTATTTTTCAGTAAGTAATTCTATAGTGTAGCTGCAATGCCTAAGTTAAATAGTATTTTTTCACACCAAGAGACAAGCTGGTCAATAGAAATATTGATAGACACAGGTTATTGAGCTTTCAATCACTACTAAAGGTATAGATTCAACCCACACTGATACTCACTTGTTTTGTAGAATGAACACAAAGTCCTGTCATCAAACACCCCACCCACCACCATCCCCACCCCATCCTAGACAGGGCATCAAATTTGTATTTCAAGGAGCAAAGGCAAGAAGGACAGAATGATTCAACCCAATTTGCTACTTATAACCCACTAAAGCTACATCTAATGGTCGATCATACTTGTCTTCATCAGATACATCAAGGACAACATTGGATCATAGAAATGTATTAAGAATTAATGGACAATATGTAACTGTTAGAACTCAAGTTTTTGCTAAGCTCTACTCCTTGTGATTGAGTTTCCTCGAATGCTAATACATATTTTAGAAAAGCCCCCTAAACTTCTCTCTTATCATAGAGAAGTCTAAAGAAAAATGAAGAAAGTTTTGAAGGCAAATTCAAATTTTGTGAACTTAGAATCACAAACTAGACTTTGAACTTCAGACAGCCAACTAAAATGGAAAGAATTCAAGGTGTACTAAATGTTACCAAACTTCTATTTCTCTGCGTCTTTGGTGAGGTTGGACGTTAAACTCTCCAACTGCTTGTCAAGTTCTAGCGTGCTTTACAGAAGACAATAAAATATATTTTAAAATCTAAAATCTAATTTATTAGCAATACATATAAGCATATGAGTCCTACCACAGTGGTTACAGAATTATAACATAAAATCTAAAGCCACAATAGATTTGAATATTTTAGATGAACAGTAGGTACACAGATACAGCAATTCTTTTGTTTAAATGAATGAACTTCACAAATTTCACATGGTGGTTTTACACTTGATCCGTTCTGCATGCTGTAGCTCATCTAGAATGTTTCTGATGCTCTCCACACAAACTTCTCCTCTGTGATGTTTTTTTGATGCGAGATTCCATACATTTTCAAATTCTTCATCAGAAAGCTTGACGCCAATGTTACATAATATCTGAGCAATCTGGGGAGGGGGGAGAATTTTAAGTGAGACCAAGATTTGCACATTTATAATTTGTATTTATAATGTCCCAGACTATGGATATTTATCCAAAAAATTTTTTACAGGTTGTTTGTGTGTGTTTGTAATGAGCAAATATTACACAAATATCACAAAAAAAATTTTAGAAGGGTGTGCCAGTGTGTAGTGAGCACTTTGTTAATATAAATACAAAGGTTTTGTTTTTTTTAGCCATTTTGCTAATATGAATGAATGTGAATATTTTCAATTATCCTGCCAATATATAAAATTACTTCCACCTCTAAGAATTTCTAGTTATTTTAAAGAGAGGCAGCAAGATTCAACTAGAAAGAGCAAAATAATTGAAGATAGAAGACTTGCTGGATTTGAGTTCTGTCACTCATTGTCACTATCATCTTGTATATGTCACTTAAACCAAAAAACCAAACTCACTGCCATTGAGTAGATTCCAACTCATAGCAACCCCCAATGGATTTCCAAGGCTGTAAATCCTTACAGAAGTAGATTGCCCCATCTTTCTTCTGCAGAGTGGCTGGTGGGTTTGAACCGCCAACCTCATGGTTAGCAGTCAAATGCCTTAGGCATTGTGCCACCATGTTGTTGTTTGTTGTGTTATGTGCCATCGAGTTGGACCCGACTCATAGCGACCGCCACCAGAGCTCCTAAATAATAATTTCCTCTTTTTTAAAATAGGAACATTTACTAAACAGATCTAACTGGCCTATTTTAAACCTTACTATATTTGTAGGTGTGCAAATGCCAGAGAGAAAGTGTGCACACATGAGCAACTGGGCATACTAAAAACAAACAAACTTTATTTACTAATAATCTCTCTGTAGTCATGACTATTAAAATAGATGATCCAAACATAACCCACTGTTATTGAGTAGATTCCAACTCATAATGATCCTACAGGATAGAGCAAGACTGTAAAACTTTACGGAGGCAGACTACCTCATTTGTCTCCCATGGAAGAGTTAGTAAGTTCAAACTGCCAACCTTTTGGTTAGCAGCCAGATTCTTTAACCATTGCACCACCAAAATTCCTTTAAAGATATGAAGGGAGAGACAACCCAGGGAAAAAGAAAAGAAAGGTAAAAACTAGTAGTGGGAAAAAAGGTTAGAAAAAGTAAAGAGAATGAATGAAAGATATGAAAACAAAACAACAACAAAAGATGAAACTAAATTTAAAAGGAGAAAAGAAATTATTGTGAAACATACAGAGAAAAGCAAAAAGAGAAATGAAAATAAAGGTTAGACAGTGAATAAGAAAGAAAAAGAGTAGTGGCAGGATACTTCCATGAAACAGAGCATTGCCAACAACTAAAAGGTACCTACAATGATGTGTCTTTGTGGAAGTTAGCAGTGTAGGCAGACCCACCTCACATTCAGAAAAGCAGAACTGTTAACAACCTGCAGCTATATAGAAAAGCACCTCATATCCCTATATATACACAGTGCCATAGAGTTGATCCTGACTCATAGCAACTGCGGTGTAGTAAATTACCTAGTATAGCTTTTCTAGCCATAAGTCTTTGTAAACTTCATGGTGGAATTTGCCATGAGCAACTGAACAGCTTCTGATTGTTAATGTTATCCACCTGGGGTATTTCTGTTGCGAGTGGCACAAAGCAATCTTCTGGGGAGTTCTTTCTCTCTGTCTCTCTCTCCAGCAAATAGAATTCTGATGTTGGGGTTGGTTAGTTCAGCCACTCTGCCAGGCTCAAAAGGAGCCCTCCTAGAGGCAGAAGGTATCTCTCACTGCCAGCTGGGAGATGTGAGAGGCACGCATTGCTGAATGAGAGACATGCATTATGGATAGAGAGACCAAGAGACACACACTGTTGGGAGAGAGACTGAAAGAGACGGTTAGCTAAGAGACAGTGGGCTGAGAGTGACTGAGCGTGTTCCTGAACTTGAATTGTATCCTGTTGCTTCCCTAATAAACCCCATAATCTGTGAGTTCTGTGTGGCCACTGCAGTGAATTATCAAACGCAGCAGAGAGGTGGTGGGTGCTGCAGGAGGAACGGCTGGTGCCAAGGTTGGTGAAAGGACTGAGGGAGGTGGCATGTCTGGCCTTGTAGGGATACGCCTTGGGCTATTGATGGTGATTCTGTCTTCCTCTTGTGGGGTTAGAGGAGGTCAGAGGATGTGGCCTCCCTACCCCTTTGAGAGTAACTCTACAGAGTAGAACTACCCTCATAGAGTTTCCAAAGCTGTAAATCTTTATAGAAACAGATTACTACATCTTTTTCCTACGGAGTGACTGGTGGGTTCAAACCATCAACATTTCGATTTGCAATAGAGTGTTTTAACCACTCTGTCACCAGGGCTCTCCCCCTATGTATAGCTCCAATTTCTACCACACACACCTCACTGACACTTAGGTTAAAAAAAAAAAAAAAAAAAAACCTGTATATGGATTGAATTGTGTCATCCAAAATATGTGTTGAATTCCTGGCTTTTGTATCCGTGCATGTGATCCTATTTGGGAAAAGGGCTTTTCCTTTTTCATGTTAATAAGTTCATATCATTGTAGGATAGATACTAAACCTAATCAATTGTGAGTTATAAAAAGACCAGAAAACACACATGGACACCAATGGGAAGACAGACACCATGTGAGGATTATCTACAAGATAAAGAATGGAGTTCTAGGGGTTACCAGCAAGGAAGGAACCAACATGGCCAAGATCCAAATTTGGACTTTTAGCCTCTAGAAGTGTGAGAAAATAAATTTCTGTTTTTTAAAGGCACCCATTTGTGGTATTTGTGTTACAGCAGCATTAGGAGACTAAGACAACACCCCACAGAGTGAATTCATGAAGTAGTCCTCGGTAAGCTTGAGCATCCTAACTCTTCTCCCTGTTCCCTTTCCCACTCCTCAATAGGCACTTCTTCACAGTCAGCATCCAGAGACTGATTAGATAACACTTTTCCTGAGGGCTGCCCATTCTTAAGTTAACATCATTACCCCAACCAGACCTTTGAGTTTATACTTTTTATCTAGAACTGTGAGATAAAGAGTGACTTCCTTCTTAAAGGAATGTTAGGCATCAGGAAGCAAAAAGGAGAGTTTTGCTTCTTTGGCAATCCTCAAGTTCTACTTCATAGGCCCTTTAGGTGACTGGGAGAAATGAAAACACAATCTGAGGTTGAGCAGGGCCTCTTCTTTGACCCTCTGAGGAGGATCCTGGATTCCAGCCAGGAGGCATTGCCTTCTGAGTTTCCATTTCCTCTCTCCTCTGCCTCAGTGGAAATAAATTGCTTAAATGAACCTGTTATTAATTAGGTTAATATTTAATATGTTTTCAAGCTTTCATCTTAAGTCCCAGAAGGCATTGTGTATCTCTTTCCATCATTTCCACTGCTGGTCTGATGAACCAATTGCTCCCTGGATCACACCCTGTCTTTCATGGTACAAATCTAGTCTGATCAAGCCTCTTATGAATCTGTGGCCCTCAGCACCCTAGTAGACAGGAGCTCTGGTAGCGTAGTGCCTAAGGCACTTGACTGCTAATCAGAAGACTAGCAGTTCAAACCCACCAGCCACTCCTCGGAAGAAAGGTTGGGCAATCCACTTCCACAGTGATACTGCCTTGGCAACCCAAGGAGAGGTCACTATGAGTTGGGTCCAACTCAATAGCAAATAACAACATAACAACAACAACCCTAGTAGAGATTCTGACCTATCTGCGTGTTCCCACTTTATAACTCATCTAGGAAGTGGATTCCCTGGAGTACAGGGACCAAGTTTTTTGAGTCAAAAAGTACAAAAAAAAAAAAACACCTGGCTGACATATGGTATGACAACAGGACAGAATATTTTAAGTCAGTGCTTATCCTAAGTAACCTGAGACACATGACAACAGTACAAATGATGGCAGAGGGGCCCTCACCATGGTTATTCTTTCATTCCAGAACCCAAGTCCACAAGGTACTTACTCAAAGAGGGGATTGATATCCTTTTCTTTTTCCTAACTAAGAATAGATGGTTAATTTTATGTGTCAACTTGGCTAGGCCATGGTGTCCAAATGTATTGTCCAACATTAGTCTGCATATTGCTGTGGAAGTATTTAGATGTGATTAACATTTACAATCAGTTGACTTTAAGTAATACAAATGGCTTTCCATAATATGACTGAGCCTTATCATTGAAGGCCTTAAGAGGAAAAACTGAAATTTCTTGAAGAAAGAAGGATTCTCCCTGAAGACTATAACATAGATATCTTGCTGGAACTTCCAGCCAGTTTGGCCTATACAGATTTTGAACTCAAAACTACTAGAGTTTCTAGCCTTCTGCCTGGTCTGCAGATTTTGGACTTTCCAGACCCAAAATTACATGAACCAATTCCTTAAAATAAATCCCTCTCTCTTTTTCCATATGTTATGTATGTGTGTGTATATATATATCTCACACACACACACGCATACACACACATGGTTGGTTCTGTTTCTCTGGAGATCTCTAATATAATAGTGTTCAGGAAAACTTTTTTTTTTTTATACATGAGCCACATTTGGTATATGACATGAAATATACTTCCTATCATAGAATAAATCAATTCAAGAATTGTGCCCAAATGTCACAACCAGATTGAAAAGTTTTCAGAATCCTATATTTTGGTGGTTCTTATAGCCTTTATAATATAAAGGTTCAAGTTTTGGAAAGTCTAAAATAGTAGTCATTGACAAATAGAACATTTTCATCTTTGTGTGTTTGTGTGAAGTAGCATTACTTACAAATATTTTACAATAGTATGGCATACCTCTTCTTTTGATCTGGTCTTGAAGAAGTCTCTTTCAAACACTCCTTTCTGGCTAAAGATAGTAGGATGTAGTAATGAATAAGCATTACCCTCTTCACCATAATTAGTTCTATCACTGATGCGACGAATCCGGGGGGCAGGAATATCAGACCGAATGGTTGGAACACCGTAGATAGGATAACCTATGTTATCAGTGAGAGAAGAAAGCAGATGTACTAAAACTGAAGTGTATAATATGGTAGCCACCAGCCACAGATAGCTACTGAGTTCTTGAAATGTGGCTAGTACAAATTGAGATGTGCTCTAAGTGTAAAATACACATTGGATTTTGAAGACTTTGTACCAAAAAAAAAAAAAGAGAGAGAGAATGTAAAATATCCCATTAACAATTTTTATACTACTTACATATTAAAATGATAATATTTTACATAGATTAAATAAAATATATTGTTAAAAGTAATTTCACTTGTTCCCATAATTTTTTAATATGGCTACTAGAATACCAGAAAGATGTTTATTTGTGTTTTATTGACTATGCGAAGGCATTTGATTGTGTGGATCATGACAAATTATGGACAACATTGAGAAGAATGGAAATCCCCGAGCATTTGATTGTACTCATGAGGAATCTGTACCTTGACCAGGAGGCTGTCATTCGAACAGAACAAGGGAACACTACATGGTTTAAAATCAAGAAGGGAGTGTGTCAGGGTTGTATTCTGTCTCCACACTTATTCAATCTATATGCTGAGCAAATAATCCGAGAAGCGGGACTATATGAAGAAAAACGTAGTATCAGGATTGGAGGAAGAATCATTAACAACCTGAGATATGCAGACGATACAACTTTGCTTGCTGAAAGTGAGGATGACTTAAGGCACCTACTGATGAAGGTTGAAGAATACAGTCTGCAGTATGGATTACATCTCAACATAAAGAAAACAAAAATCCTCACAACTGGACCAATGAGCAGCATCACAATCAATGGAGAGAAGATTGAGGTTGTCAAGGAATTCACGTTGCTTGGTTCTACAATCGATGCCAATGGAAGCAGCAGTCAGGACATTAGATGACGTGTAGCATTGGGAAAGTCAACTGCGAAGGAACTGTTCCAAGTGCTGAGGAGCAAGGATATCTCCTTGAGGACTAAGGTGCGCCTGACACAAGCCATGATATTTCCAATCGCCTGGTATGCATGTGAGAGCTGGACAATGAATAAGGAAGACCAAAGAAGAGTTGATGCTTTTGAGTTGTGGTGCTGGCGGAGAATGCTGAAAGTACCATGGACTGCTCAAAGAACTAACAGATCTGTCCTGGAGGAAGTGCAGCCAGAATGCTCCTTGGAAGCAAGAATGGCCAGACTTCGTCTCACCTATTTTGGTCATGTTGTAAGAAGGGACCATTCCCTGGAGAAGGATGTCATGCTTGGTAGGGTGGAGGGTCGACGAAAGAGGGGGAGGCCTTCAATGAGATGGATTGATACGGTGGCTGCGATGATGGGATCAAGTATAGCATGGATTGTGGGGCTGGTGCGGGATCGGGCAGTGTTTCGTTCTGCTGTGCATGGGGTCACTATGAGTCGGAAACGACTCGACGGCACTTAACAACAACAACAACAACTAGAAAACTTGAAAATACATATGTGATCCTCTTATGTTTTTAAAGGGGGCAGCATGATCTCACTACACCAGAATTTACAGATGTCCATAAAGTCAAGAAAAATACACAAAGCCTTAATTGTGCTTCAATTCTAGGATGTTCTTTTTTGGGGGAGGGGATGAAAAATATACACAGTAAAACCTGCTCCCATTCCACAGTTTCTAGGCATATTGATCAGTAGCATTGGTCATGTTCTTCACATTGTGTCAACATTCTTGTTATTTCTGTTCCAGTTGTTTCACTTCCATTTACTTAATCTCCCTGTCTCCTTCCCAACCTTCCCATCTATGCTTTAAAATGGTATTGATCCTTTTGTCATATATTTTTTTCTTTTCTTAAAGTAATGCATTACTAAAGGGTAACAATCTTTACTCTTTGGGCTAAGCTGTTACTTTTGGAATTGTTCGAGATCAACAAATGAAGTCTTTCTAAATAACTAGTATCCATCATGCTTGATACTGAGATATGGGAAATAAAGATGTAAAGAACTGTTTTGTAAGAGTTCTTCAAATATATGAAGGTAAATGTGTATGGAGATAAGAATCACATGATTAAAGAGTCTTTGAATACTTGGGGAAGTCTGAATTACTGCAAAGTATGTCACTCGGTTTTCTAGTCCAGATGTTTTCAATTTTATTAATTGTAGAGAATAATTTTACTTGAATCATCATTAACAATAGCTCAGTTCAACTAATGTTTATTGAAACACCTTTGGTTCTTGGAATACAGAAATGAAAAAAAGGTTATAGACTTTGAGAAACTTACAGTCTAGTGTAGTTAGAATTTATGAACAACGCAAGGGCAGAAAAAGGACACTTTGCTTCCATTTTGATTGACCCATTTAAGACTCAACAAGTAAAGTGATATACTCACAAATAGAAGGAATGGCTCCTACAACTGCATTGATCTCAGAAGAAGATGTCTTATATTCATTAGAAACCTTATCGCTTGGTCTCAGAAGTGTTCGAAGTGTCTTTTCTGAGCTCCCTGGTTCTTTTAAAACAATATCTTCAGGTTTTATGAGAAGAATTGGTTCAGATTCTTGAACACTAGGCTCAGTAAGGTTTGTACAATCTTGTTTTCTACCTGTAAGTAAAGTAGAAAAGAGAAAAGAACAAGAAGAGATTGGTATTTGCTGCTTTGTAACAAGATAAGTTTTCATATTTAGTCTCTATTTGCTAGTGGAAACTGAACTCATATGAACCCTCTGCTGTTGCCAGTACTCCACTCTGTAAGAGCTAGTCCAGGCCAATGTCATATACCAGGAAATTTACACATGGCCTAATGTTAATGTATCTTTTTGCCACTCCACTCGTGTTACTCCACAATAAAGAGCAAAGGTAAATACAGAACCTGCATAGGTACTGAAACAAGGCGGGCTTGTGCTTACTCACTGATCTGCACTGAACACTTTCCCTTGTTACCCTCCCGAGAGGGACCGGGTCTCCGG